TTGGAGGAGGACTTGATCATATTGATTGTTTCAAAAAATGATTTGAGAAATCCCATCGAGTATGGCAAGAAATATGACCCAGAGAGGCTAATTCAAGCCAAACAATGAGAAACTAGAGCTTAGTGACTAAATCCTTGTAAAGGTAAAAGAAACCTAGATTTCCAATTTGAACATTACATGTGTAAGACTGTAAAAACTTCAACTTGAAACATAAAATTTGCAGTCCATGCGGCAGCCAGTGGCAGATACTCTACAAACCATGTACTCAGGAGACTGTCGCTAACAATGCAGACGTGTGAGGTAGCTTTGATGAAAATCTATGCATCGTAGGGTGGTTTCAGGAAAAAAAAAAATGCTGTTTACTGAGTTGGCAGAAAATTGATGGCTGCCAAACACTTTGAAGAAAACTTGAAATCGGTCTTCAGGGTATTGATTTGGAAGTCATTCACTAAGTGTGCTAGTTGAACCCATGGAATTGATTAGGCTGTGAAGAATGAAGGGATGGCAGCTAGAATGCTCTAAGGAATACCACTTATTAAAGTGTGAAAGGAGGGGAGAAGGCTGCAGAGGTTATTGCTGTGGCACATCCACACAGGCTCCCAGCCGTCACTGTACACACTGGTGGACCTTCTCCTTCCCCAGAGATACATCCTGAAGGAGAAATTAAGTTGTGTGCTTTACTGACTCTTAAATCTGCATCAGTTCTACATTCTCCATAAAACCCAAATTGCCTGATTTCTTAACTAGCTCCTACCTCTCAGAGATGGAATAAAAATCTTTACCTATTGTTTCTCATCTTCCAAAATTTCCTTCTGAATCTCTGCCCTGCACTGCACCTTAAACCTTTGCTCGCTCTGTTTTCTCAAAAGGTTCAAGTTTGTGTGTGTGTGTGTGTGTGTGTGTGTGTGCGCGCGCGTGCGCATGTGTCTGTGAATCCTCAGAACCTCCAGTGGCAATTTAAGACTTTCCTTCCTTTATTTCCATAAATATCCTTTTTTATCATAGCATCAGTCTCTCTGCCTCCTTGGTTATATCTACTTCTTTATCCCTTTAGAACATAAACTTCTCTAGGGCCTACTTAGCTTTGTATCCCCAGGGCTTCTAGCACAGGGCCATGCTTTTCAATTGGTGAGCTCTGTTAAGTATCTGCTGCTGTTTTGCACAGTTAACACAGAACTACACGTCAGTACTCACGAAGAAGGTCTTCACTTTTTATCATAATATTATCTGGAAACTGCATCTTAATGCATAGGAAGGATTTTACTTACAAAAAAAAAAAAAACATAATTGGAGGGCCCTCCCTGGTGGCGCAGTGGGTTAAAGCACAGCACAAAGAAGCTTAAGCCACTTCTCCATGAGTTCGATCCCCGCTTGCCCTGGAGGAAATCCACATGGCGCGGCAGACCTCTCCTGACCCACCCGCTGCTCCCCTCAGCAGTGTACTTTGTCAATCTGCCTGTTCTGTTCCCCGCTCTGTCTCTGGTGAATCCTCTCACCCTCCGCATCTCTGGCCTGTACCCCATCTCTGTATGAATAAATACATAAATCTTAAAAAACATAATTGGAGGACTTGGATCAAATTCAACTCTCATAATCACTAGTAAATTCGAAAATCAAATATCAGTATCACTATTTAATTTGTAAAATTGGGCTCCTAGAAACAGAATTTTACCAACAGAAGAACTCTGCAAGGGCTTTCTTGTCCAGGGTTTCCTAAGTTGTCCTCTGTGGATTCTTGTTCCTCATGACTGGGGAGTAGTGGGAAGTCCTGGGGAAGGAAAGTTTGTCAGACCACCAAACATGTTTTACCTAGAGTGATTGGCTTTTAAGTGTTCAAATTCAAGGCTTTCAAACAAAGTTGCATTGTACATAGTTTTGCTGTTAAGATAGTGTGAGAACATGGTTATAACCTTCTGCCTGCTTTCAAAACCTTGGTGACTCTGGGCCTTTGTCTCCTCATCTGTAAGTATGAAATGACACTGCAATAGTTCGTGCTTTCCTGAGCCCTCCTCCCCGTCCATTTTCAAATAAAAAACAGACCCCCAAGAAAAATGAAGTGGCTTACTCAGGCCACATGGTATGTTAATGACAGACAGAAATTTAATCTTAAGCCCTGATGGTGGTGTTGAAGTTTTTCTATTTTAAAAATATAGCTGTCAATTAAATGGAAATGATAACTGCCAGGAGTTATATAAACAGTATGTCAAAATAGAGCTATATTGTATTTTTGCCTTAACCAAAAATTGGTGTGCTAGCTGCAGCAAACACTGAACATTACCTGTTTTACATTCATTTTTCAAGTTTATGGAAATGTTTGGATGAGTTGTTTGTATGGCTCATTTCTACAAAGCTCTTTATGAGTTGTTTTCTGCGTGATTAATAGCCATGTAATTATTAGATGCATTTAAAATCATTCCATTAGTCATTTGTTTCATGTTTAAGTCATGCTGCACCTAAATTTGAAAGCATAGCTAAGAATTTGTGAGGGTTTAGGAAAGAGTCTCTAGGTCTGGTCCTTTCACTCATCTCCTTCACTTTGGCCAGTTTCCTCTCTTCACTCTCCTTTCCAAAATCAGGGGTATCTGTGGAGAGAAAACGAAGTCACAAAAGAGCTAACAGAGATGTGTGCAAGGAAGGAAAGAAGGTCAGCTGTGCTCCTTGGCCATGGCGGTGATGGGGGTCCTTTTGGGGTGATTATATCATAGCCTGTGTAAAGATGTAATGTGACAAGCAGCTCACAGAGACTCCACCTTCTTCCCCCTCCTGCCTCCATATCCCACCTACCCATGGCCTGCTGCTGCTGCTGAAACCAAGGCAGGTGTGAGTAAGGGCATGTAGAAATGAAGCATGGTCCTAATTAAACAAAGTATACTCTTCCAAATAGGTGTTAAAGTTTGTAATGTAAACACCATACTAAATTTGGGTTTTATAGGACGTACATATGCTAAGCTACCTTTGCATCATAAAAAAAGGTTGTGGATGTGTCCGTGACAATAGGATAGATGGCAAGGACAGTGTTTAACTTGCTCCTACTTCTTGACGATAGCACAACATCCATTTTACATAAGCAGACTTTTTTTTTTAAGATTTATTTATTTATGCATACAGAACTGGGGTACAGGCCAGAGATGCAGGGGTGGTGAGAGGATTCACCAGAGACTGAGTGGGGAGCAGAACAGGCAGATCGATGAAGTACACTGCTGAGGTTGGGTCAGGAGAGGGATCGAACTCATACTGAAGTGGCTTTAGCTTCTTAGTGCTGTGCTTTATTCGCTGCGCCACCAGGGAGGGCCATAATAAACAGACTTTTTACACACAGGCTTGGTCATACCTGCACATGGCAATGTATGTTGTTATTCATTTGTCAAGATACAACAAAGAATTAAAAGTAACATTAAATTAACAATGATGCTTTATTCAGTCTGAATAGGTCCAAACTCTAATTAGAGCTGTTATAGTGAGACTTTTTTTTAATCGAAAATTTTACAGAATGTCACACACACATGTGTATATGTGTTCATATGTGTACATACATATATTCATGTATACTGTATATGAATATATATAAGCATACATATTTACAGTAAAACGTTGGTCTTGCCCAGAGCAAAGAAATTGAAGTTACCTCTAGTTCGTTCTTTCATTTAGAATTACTTTTCATTAGACTGGAAAAGAGCTGAAGAAATTCACTTGCAGTTAATGGTTGCTGAGTTAGCTTTTACTGGTTTTCTTTGCTTCTTCCTCTGTTGGGTTGAGAACAGGTAGATTAAGCTGCATTGTAAACTAGTCCTTGGATTGGAATTTTCCATATTTTCATACTTTTGCCCCCACACCCATTTTGATTGAGTCAGTTCATCTTCACAGTTAGACAAAAATCAAGGTGTTGTTGAGTCTTATGTGAAATTGGGTCATATATTACAATGTCCACCTCTCACCACTTAATGTTATTTTTTAATTCTTGTGCTTTTTATATGCTTGATTTATGGTAATATTGCTAGGAATAACATCATGTAGTCCTGGCCCAGAAAGGCACGATATCCTCTTGAAATCTTTAGGATAAGAAAAGCGATTTGTATTTAAGGATCTTCAGTGCCAAATCTTGCTGAAGGACCTCACACAAATCTGACTCTGAAGGAGCAAACCTAAAATGGCAAAACAAACTTAAGTGGAGAGAAGACTAGGAACTCATGTAGTGACTGAAAGGAGAGGAATATGCCCTTTCATTTCATTTGGTCTTTCGTTTCTGGGATTTTAAAAAAAAAGTTAATTAAATATTTAGGTATGGTATATCGCTTTCATCTGTATATAATTCAAAACTTCAACACAGTAACAATTTATTTGAATTTTAAATGGCTCATTTCCATAACATAATTATCTCTATAAAACAGTCTGTTTTATAGCAACATTGGGTTGATTTATAAAATACTGTCTGAAGACAAAGACTTTTTCCCACAGTATACTTTCATCTGAAGGCAATAATCATATTCTAGAGAAACCCTCTAACACTTAGAGTATAATTTGACACCACTGAAATATTTATTAATTTGTATTTATCATCAAAGTGCCATTAATCAAGCAAACATACTAAACAAATTTTGTAGATTTAAAGAGCTCTTAGATCAGTGAGCATCAATCACCATGAGACCATATTTTAGATCATACTAAAATGATTGCCAAGAAATGTTGAAGGATAAATTTAGAAGTGATATACCATATAGTATAGCTTTACTAATTTAGGCTGATTTCAGAACGACTGTTTTTGCCACACACCTAAAAGCTAACTTTATTGATAAGGGGTAATGAAACAACCTGGTGATCTATTTCCTTGGTTCTCCCTAAAAGTGAATATATTAAGCTGATAGACCTTTATGTTCAAAACCAGAATGTCCTCTCCTCATTCAAGCTGCTGGGTTTGGGAACGTAAATATTTGCCTGTGTCACTTTATCTATTTTTTAACTTGTTATTTGTTTTTTGTTTTTTTTTTTCTCTTCTTTCTTAGTCACTCGTTAAAGACAAGTCCCAGGATCTCAGGCTGGGTTCACAGTCTGTGACACAGTAAGCAATTTTCCTCCTAAATAACTTGTAGTAATAAGATAGTTGGTTTCTGTTTTTCATGACAGTTTTTCTTGTTTAAACTAAGGAGACCGTTTTGACAGTTGAACATTGAGGGTCAAAGAAATAATTTTATGATGAAATATCACTGAATTTTCATTTTTCTGAACCTAATTTGTCATTTATTTTTAACATTTTGAAATGACATTAACTAAAAACAAAAAGATGATGTGATAGAAATCAAATTATGAAATGACTAAGTTGAGGATTGAAGGACAGAAGTTAATCCCCAGAACATTATCACTGTATATTTTCTACTTCTCAGTAATGTATTTGAACAGTTCATTTTGAGGGTGTTTTTTTTTTAATCAGGATCTCTAGTGTGATTCTATAACTGTATTTGTTACTGTGTCCCTTAAAACATTAATAGAAAAATCCCTTTTTACTGCAATAAAAATTTCAGGTCAAAAATCTTCCCAAAATTTGCCTCAGCACAGATCTCTTTGCACCTAATTTTGTGCCCACATTTTATATTCATACCACATCACCAGCCAACTCACATGAGAACAATGGTCGTGAACAACTCAGGTATTGGCTGTGCCCGCCTGTCCCACCCCATCATCACTGCGTGCACATCAGTATACATACATGCTTTCACACAGGCACACACAGACAGTCCCTGCCTAATCTCCTTCACGGAAATGTTCTTTAAGTTAATAACCTTCCTAAACTCTTCTGCATTTTAAAGAATATTACTTCTCTTCCCAACACAAAAATTCTGGTTCAGATGACAGTCTGATTTGCAGGAATTGTTAAATCAAACCAGGCAGTATTTCACAAGGCAACATTTTCATCCTGTGGATGGAAGACAGGCATAATTTTTAAACAGAATTTGAAGAGGCACAGGTGTAAGACTCCTTAGAACCTTTTGTTTGTTGAACTATATTCAATGTTGTCACACTCCTTGGTAAGATACTGCGCTTAAAGTTTAGAACTTTCATCTTGAGAGGTAAACTCTGTCAATATTAGGACTGTAGTCACTCTGTCACTTCTGAACACACACACAGTAACATAATTCGCTTTCATTCTCACTGTTTTTCTGGGAGGTACTGATCATCATCTGACCTCTCTATTACATGTGGAGAAAGGATTTGAGAGGCTGTGACATGTCTCAAATCATTGCAGATAATGTCAGACCCCATATCGGAACACAGGTCCTCTCTTTAATTTCCATGTGCTGCAGACAGACCTACCACATCTTTCAGATTTTTGTTTCTGATATATCTTCCAGGTATGTTTTCAGTTGCAATTTCTGAACAATTCTAATTTTACATATTTGGTAATAAAGTCACTGCCCCTTAGGTACTTTATATTCAATAACAGATTACATATAACACATATAAACAACAGGTTAGGACTAATGGAGGCAAAATGACTCAACAACTAAAAAAACATATTTCAAATTTTATGGGAACAATGTTCCTGGTGTCTATTAACATGTCTAACTGAAATTTTTAGAACATTTTGCCTAATGTGAGAATAATTGTGTAGTCAATGGCTGCTTAGGATCTGTGTTTTCAGGAGCTAGAGATCCATGCCATGTTCTCCAAATTGAAGTTCAATAAAAACCATGCAAATACCTGCTTCTACAGGCTGTCAGGGAGGTCTGGCTTCTCCTTTTGAAACAGTGCAAAGAAGCATCTAAAAGTAAAAAAAAAAAATTAATGAGAGGTTCAGCTGTGCAAAATGCTAAGTTTGGGGGCTTTCCCTACACTCATAATTTCTTAGAAGTAAAGATAAATTCAGATATATTTCTCATGACTTGAAAACTCTAGCCAAGTTGAAGATGGAAATATTATAACCCAGTACAGAGAGGTCATCTCTTTAACTTACCTAAATGATTCCATTGTACCCAAGTAAATGGCAGCCCTGCCATTCAGTTTGCAACATTTGTTTAGACTGTTGACCAAAATGTATAAATGAGCCATGCAGAAATGCTTCTTAACTACTTCCTATATGAATTTCTCAGTTTATCCTTTTTTTAAAAGAAATACCCATCGCTTCTGTATGGTTTATATACATTTTAGCAAAGCCACATGCTCATTTTTTAGTATAAAAAAGAAACTTTTTTAATTTAATATATGTTTTACATCATTCTTCATTTTCATACAGTACATGTTTCATCATCTTGTGTATGGTCCTTAAGGAGTTCCCACAACCATTAACCCATGCAACGTCACCATTGTCCCTTGTGCTCATCCTACCCTTGTTTGGATCCAGTTTCCTCCTCCCTGCCCTGAATAATGTCTCTGCTTTAAGATGTCTGTTTATTTTGATTCAAAAAGAAACTTTTATTGGTTAATTTAACAAAGGCATTTTCTTGAAAGTCCTTAATTTTTTACCTTTTGTCTCTCATGCCCTCGTAATTATCTCTACCCACTCTAGGGTTCATAATGAATCTTTCGTAAATACATTATAATAAATGTTAGTATTCCTTAGTCATTGATATATTTTAACTTGAGTGGTTGCTTTTTCTTAAAAATTTTGCTTTATTGCATTAGCTGCTTTGATTAAAGAGAAGCTAATTCAGAGTCAGCTATATGAAAAGCCATCATACACACTCAAATTTGAACTGAATGAAGGGATGAATCTCTTAATACAGCACAGTTATGAGTTAATTCCAAGTATCCTATCACCCTTCCACTATATACTTTCTCTACATTTATAATCATCTTATACCAGACTTCTTCAATTTTGACTTTTTTACTCATTTTTCTTTTATTAAATTTACTTATTTTTAATTAAGATAATGTTTGCATACCCTGTCAAGTATTATCACTACAGTGCACCTACCACAAAATCACACAGTCCACCACCGTGGTCCATTGTCCTTCCTTCCCTTTTTGCTCTCACCCACCCCTTCCCCTTCTAGCCTCTCTAGAAGGCTTTAGCTCTCTAGAAGGCTATCAAGGGGTTAGTCTTTAAACTTGTTTTTATCTGTTGCTTAATTTAGGGACTTTATATTCCACATATTAGTGACACCGTCCAGTATTTATCTCCTCTTTCTGACTTATTTTACTTAGCATTATTTCTTCTATCTTATCCATGTTGCCAGTCATGAGTTTACCTTTTTTTGATCGCTGAGTAATATCTTTGTGTGTATATAGCACATCTTGATCCACTCATCTGTTTGGGGGCACTTAGGCTGTTCCCATAATTCAGCTATAGTAAATAGTGCTGCCGTAAACACAATAGTGAGTGTTTCAATGTAGTGTTTCTGAATTTTGGGGGTAGATGCCTAGGAGTGGAATTACTGAGTTGAATGGTAGATCCACGTTTAATGTTTTGCATCACCTCCATACTGAATTCTGCAGGGCTGGACCAGTTTGCATTCCCACCAGCAGTGTAGAAGGGCTCCCTTTGTCCCACATCCTTGACAGCACTTGTTTCTGTTCTTTTCAATATGGGCCATTCTCACAGCTGTGAGATGGTATCTCGTTGTGGTCTTGATTTGCATTTCCCTAATAAGTGAGGGTGTGCATTTTTTTTTTTTTTATATATAGGCCTGTTTGCAGTCTGTATATGTCTTCTTTGGAGAAGTGTCTGTTTAATTCTGTTAATTTTTTGATTGGGTTGTTTGTTTTTATATAGTTTAATATAGTGGCATGCAGATACTTTCTCCCAATCATTAAGAGATCTTTTCCATTTAAGTATGATTTCTTTTGCTGTGAGGAAGCTTTTTAGTTTGATGCAGTCCTAGTTGTTTATGTTCTCTTTTATTGTCCTTGTTGTTGGGGAGAAATCACTAAAGGCATCAGTAAAGCTTATGTCATGAAATGTTTTGCCTGTTTTTGTTGTTGTTGTTTTTCCTATGTACTTTGTGAGTCCAGGTTTTACATCCAAGTCTTTGATCCATTTTGAATAGATCTTTGTGTATGGTGTGAGACTGGAGTCTAGTTTCATATTTGAGGAGATACCCTTTTTCCCTTATCCTGCTCCTTGCAACTCCTTTTTTAAATTCTTACTTTGATTATCTATTTGTAGCTGTTCCTCACTCTATGCCTCCATCCATTGTCAGTAGCCAGACACCACAATGTACCTTGTGGATTCTAAATCTATTCCTCCTCAGATACATGATTTGCAGGTAATTCCTCCCATTCTCTCATTTGCCTTTTTACTCTCATAATAGTAATTTCCAAAAGGCAAACTTTTGTTATTTTGATGAAGTTCAGTTGGGAAATTGAACTTCATCAGAATGAAGCTCAGTTGGGAAATTGAACTTCATCAGAATGAAGCTCAGCTAGGGAGCTGAACTTCATCAGAATGAAGCTCAGCTAAGGAAGCTGAACTTCCGCAGAATGAAGCTCTGTTAGGGAGCTGTACTTCATCAGAATGAAGCTCGGTTAGATAGCTAAACTTCATCAAAACAACAAGAGTTATTTTCATTTATGAATCATAACTGAATAGAGGGTCTAAGGAGGTTTTGCCAAGCCAAAGCCACAAAGGTTTCCTCTGTTCTTTTTTTTTTTTTTTCTGTTTTTGTTTTTGGTAAAGTTTTTATTACACTAGGCTTTATATTTAAGTCTAATATGTTTTGTTCATGCTGTAAAGTTTGGATGAGAGGGTTTTATTTGATTTTTACATTGTATATACAGTTATCCCATCATCATTTGTTGAAAACACAATCCTATCTTAACCAAAGATCCTATTGCTCCTGTGTTGAAAATCAGTTTTTATTATAAGTATGGATGTTTTTCTGGACTCTACGCTGATCCATTGATTTACTTCTCTAAATTCACACCAGTAGCACAATTATCTTGTTATTTTTTTAATATGTCTCGAATCAGTTAGCAGTCCTTCAGCTTTTTTTTTTTTAATTGGTTTAGGTATTCCTGGTCCTTTGCATGTCCAAATGAGTTTTAGAATAAGTTTGTTAATTTATACAAAAAAGACTACTGAAATTCCAGTGGGTATGCCTTGAATCCACAGCTCATTTTGGGAAG